AAAGCGTTTATTTCAATTAAACCATTATTTTTGTACTTTTGAAACGTAAACAAATACAGAATAAATAATAGCCTATCATTGAGCCTGTCAGTAAAGCTAGGTGAAGCTAGGTGCTCACTCCAAGTCTAATTCTACCGGACTTGGTCTACTAAGAGGACCCGGTGCCCCCTTCAAATGCGGATGGTGGCCACCGGGGAGGTTTTAGTGAGGTAAAAATCCCACACTCCCTAGTCTTTTTTCCCAAAAAAGCTAGGCGTCTTTGGAAGTTTTCCCCCGGCAAAAAAAAAAGGTGATCATTCCAAAATGTATGTAGATTCGAATGGAGAAGAACGAGCAAGAAACTCCATTCGTTACTCTTTTAAAAAAACAATATGTTTTACTACCTCTCCTAAGCATTATCCAATACTGTACGTATACGTGAGAACAATGCAAAGACACGCTTGACGCATTATACAAATTACAAAACTTAGTAAAATAAAAAACAAAACAAAATTTTAAAAACAGAAAAATAAATTATAATCTAACATGGGCTCATAGCAACTATTTATCTCAATGGTGACCTAGATTCTGTTATCTCTAGAGATGGCAAGATGCAAGGTCTGCATCTTGCCAGCTTTCAAAACACGTGCAACATTAGTACTGGTCACACTAAGTATAAAAGTCAGGTCATATAAAATATTATACAGCAAAGCTTTGCAATTTTTTATTTCTTTAGTGCAGAAGCTAAACTATTACATGCTACACATATTAATTTATTTCTCTAAGTAAAAATTACAAAATGCAAGAGCAATAATCTAGTTTTTAAGTAGGTAATTAGCTAAAATAATAATTCTTAATTTGTAAAGTATTTGTTTAATTTTGACTAGGTATCTACGTCTAGGTCAAATTTTGTTCAAACTTTGAAAATAATTATATAAACAGCTAGCAATCCCAGCGAACTCCGTTTTCCACCAGATGGCTTCGTGTTATGTATTATATCGTATATTGTATGGTGATTAAAAGATGAAGAAAATTTTTTGCTTTATATTTTATAAACCTCACGGAGCCCGAGACGTTTCCAACGAATGAAAAACCATAGAATTTGGTTCCTGGGTTCTGGAGTTATAGCGTCAGGAAGGAAAACCCGACGATATTTTTATATAGTGGATAACACTGTCGTTGGTTTTTTCTCCACATTTTTCATTAATTAAATGATAGCAGTTCCAATTTTACAACTCTACAACAGTCTTTGGTTATTAAACTAAGGTTTCAATATTATCTTTGAATTTATCAAATTGAATCAATTCAAGTAAGCTGTGATTAGCCGCCTACGTATCAAACACCTACGCGGCTACGTAGGCACGTCGACACTGCTACGAGATTGCTACGCGCCAAGCAGCTACGCGACTACGAATGTAATGTTTATTTTTATAAAGAAATAGCGATCATTCTTTAGAATAACTTACAATTTTTTTTTATTGTATACTACACAATCTTGGTTAGTGTTGATAATTAAGGTTTTAAATAGGCAAGGAATTCGAAGCCGAGTAATATTTTTATCATCTAATTAATGTAATATAACATAACATCACGCCTTTTACACCCGAAGGGGTAAGCAGAGGTCACACCCACTGTTCACTATTTATATTATGATTCCTATTGCCATCAATAGGCTCACCCACTATTACATGGGAAGCCCGGTATATGGATACCGGGCTACTATTCAGTTTAAAAAAAATACAGTAATACTTTGTCCGACTGGAAAATCGACCCGAGACCGCTTGCCCGGCAGTCGCAATTGCGAACACTCGTATAAAAGAGATAGTCTAATTAATGTCTACTGCTAAATATTATATTCTATATATTCTTGCCCCGGCTCAAGCGACTCCATTTAATTCATTATTTCTAATAATTTTACAACATACATTGTTGTATGTGAGCTGCGCGACGTCGCCGCGACCGCGCACGCTGCTCATAAGGAAGAACCCCTCTGTGGTTCGAAACTAGTAGAGCTTTTCTCTCAGTATATTCACGAGACTAACCCGCGATTTTACTTAACATATATTGTTACATTATCATCACAAATCAGTCATTTTTAGTAGGTACCTGCTATTATAAGGCATCGTTGATATATCACATTTATCATCGATAGCCATCAATAGCGATAAAAGCTAAATGGATTGACAATAGTTAATGAGCAATGGCTAATTAGTGACAAAAGCTAATGTGAATCCAATTTGCATATTACATTCGACACAAATGAATGGGCAATGTTTAATTGGGCATGTTATAATTACGATACAATGGCAATGGAGATATTTTAAAACCATTCATTGGCCGCATGGTACAAAGTCAAAGTCAAAGTCAAAGCATATATTTCAATTAAACCATAGTTTGGTTCACTTTTGAAACGTCAACAAATACAAAATAAATTATAGTCTGTCAGTCAGTCCGTCAGTGAAATTAGGTGAAGCTAGGTGCTCATTCCAAAACGTAGATTCGAATGGAGAAGAACGAGCAAGAAACTCCATTCGTTACTCTTTTAAAAAAGTATGTTCTACAATGTGGTCGCAAGTGCGTCTGCCGGGCAACGTGAGTATTACTGTTTTTTTAATACGGTAAAGGCTTATCATATGGGACTCATACTAGCGGAAGAGTTTGTTTTTTGTTTGTTTGAACGTGCTAAACTACAAGTCTGATTTGAATAATTATATTTGTCTTGGATAGCGCATTTATCGAGGATGGCTATATGCTATAAAACATCACGCTACGACCAATAGGAGCTGAGCAGAGCGTGTGAAACCGCACGGAAGTAGCTAGGTACATAAATATTGAAAGTGGGTGTTACTTGTACAGTGGCATTAAGTACCGTAATGTGCACCTTCGGAGATAAAAGGCGTAATGTTATGTGTATTAAAAAAGAAGTACAGTTCAAAACGTACTGTTATTTTTTTTACAAGTGAAGTATGGAACAAGGCTACTAGAAAATATTTGTCTTCTGTTTCATGAGGCTTTACTGTGCTTAAAGCCCGACCACCAACGGCAATTCACTATAACTATGTTTATGGTGTTCTCACGTGTCCACTCTGTAGAAGAATATTTATAAACAATGGTGGATTTTCCAGCCACTTGAGAGCCTCAAACTCAAAAGCATTTATTTCAATGAAACCATAATTTGGTACTTTTGAAACTTTAACAAATATAAAATAAATAATAGTCTGTCAGTCTGTCCGTCAGTGAAGCTAGGCGCTCGTTCCAAAATGTCGATTCGAGTGGAGAAGAACGAGCAAGAAACTCCATTCGTTACTCTTTTAAAAAAAAGTCTGTTTTACAATTTTCTATAGTCCATAATAGATTGGCGTCTATCAAGTTCAAGTCGGCTACACTAGTATCAAAATGAAAGAAACGAGGTACTAAGTTTGTGCACAATTATCACGCGGCTGGCTAAAGCGATTTTGATTCAATTTTCAGAAAAGAGTTACTTACGTTTGAGAGAAGGTTTTAGTATATTAATTAACCGACATAAAAAAGATGGGTTTCAAGTCAGTTTTTTTAAACGTAGCTTAGGAAAGAATTATTTCTCCTTTAATCTCAATGTGTACCTCAATCGAAGGTTAGCCAATTTACGACTAACTGTCGAGTGAGATTGAGAGTCCAAAACTAGCAGATTTGCATAATCTTATTTTGCTATTACAATTATATTCTGCCGACCTGAAAATGATATTCTTTATTTTTAGTATATGATATTTGTTATTCTAAGTGAAAAAAGTGTTTTATTTATTTTACAGAGGTTAGTAAATAAAAAAAAAACTAATAAAATTGCTGTCTCCCACGCCTAAATCCAATGTACTATATAAATGTTTAAAATTCGATACATTCGAATGTTTGCCGCAGTGTTCAACTAGTATAGCTCTAATTCTGTCAAAAATAAATAAACTAAATATCTCTGTCCTTTACTATTGCTTATAAATGGAAAGATACGAAAGAAAATGACTAACCATCGCTAAATTGCAGTCACTGGTTTGGTTATTCTCCGTCTCTTTTTTGGCTTAACTATTAAAAAGAGATGAGAAATTACCTTTTAATATCCATAAGAGGACATAATTTCGCTATTTCTGAAACTTGAACAAATATCTTTTATTAACTGTTTTACAGAATTAGAGCTACTATTAAATGTTTTATACGTGTTAGTCTTGTATATGTGATCCTTAGGTCGTCAGAATAATGTGTATAGCTTGCCTCGTCCAGAAACTGAACCGCTTCTCCCCTTCCAATCAATTCAGGATTGCTTTTAGGATCAATATTTTGTATTGAAACTGTGACCTTGAAACTCAAGTTTAAAGGACATTTTTGTTGAAAAACTAAATGGATTTTATTAATCGTTTCTTAACGATTCAGTGAAGCAGTACTAATGCTGTTATTTTGATCAAAATAGTAACTATCTACAGTGGCATTAAGTGCCGTAATGTGCATATCTGCCTTTTCGGGGTTAAGAGGCGTGAAGTTATGTTATGTTATTTATCTTTTATTTACAAATAACACAATAGAAATAAGTTTTGATTAAAATAAATATAATAAACTGATTTGATTTGACTTCGAATTTGCACTGTAATTCACAGACAAGATAATACAGTTCATGTAAAAATATATGAATTTTTAAACAATACACAGTATATTGTAGTTACATGCCTTCATGTATATGTTGAACTTAAGTAATACATGTCTAAAACTTAAGCACTGAGGATTCTTAATACCAACCTTAAAGAGATTTTATTAAAAAAGGTTCAACGAACAATAAAAACAAAGTGTGTAAACGAAAACCGCTTAGTTTTATATTATTCCAACTATATACAAGGTTTATTTTCCCATAAACATGACCTCGTTTTTCCATTGAAAGCAAACCCCGCCCAATTTCCATAGTTATTTGCTTGGGATTAATGAAACATCCTGTATTATACCAGCTTTGTCCACACCCTGTTGTTTTGTAAGCGCTTTTTTAATTTATTTCATTTCTTTTTCAGGAATCGAATCATGGAGCCAATAATACACCTGTATAGTACGAAAAAACATAAAATTAAATGGAAATACGTGAAATGAGGTGTTGTTTATAAATTTGACATTAGTCGGTGAATTTTTGAATTTTCAATTGTGTCGAAGATGATTAAGTGATTAGTGATGAAATGTGAATAATAAGGCTTCTGTGATGGGTTGTGGTCAGAGTAAAATTAATTTGTACCCGAGGAAAAACAAAAATGGCGGCAAAGGACATGGCGCCAAAAAGTCAGGTGAGCAAACAAAGAAACAATGCGATGGAAAAGGTTTTGTTACCCTCATGGTTATTTTGGAGATTTACATTTGTTCAATGCTGTCTGAATATGAAATCATATTGATTGAAATATTTTCTCTTCTTTTTCTTTTCTGTTGTATATATGAGACAAAGTAAAACTTATGGTATTCCGATTGTTTCTTTTGTATTTTTGGTATTAATTTCTATTTAAAGACACCATGCTTTTTTATCTCTGATGATAGGCAATTGGAAAAAGTTATTTAGATTTCACGTCAGTTATGTGTTTATTCCTATGAAGTGGTCGATTCCCATTTTTCTTCACATCCTCGAAATTAATTATTTCATATTATTTTGAAAACCCATTCTAATTTAAATTAGTCTTATTGCCTCCAGTTAACAAGTTGTATGTCAAGTGATAGATTTTTGCAATATGAAACCAAAAAATCTCATCTAACATACTAAAGCAAGGATACTTGATATTAACATTTAACTTTTAGAACCTCGATATCAGCATCCATCCTTTGGGACCAGGTATCCTTGTGTAGCTGCTTTCAAAAGAAAATTTGCCTTCCAAACCGCGTCTTCAAGTTTTATTCTATAATATATTTGATAAAACGAGGTATAGAGGCACGGAGGAGGGATGGAGACGTGCTCTAAATATTCATGAGGTACGGGAGAGGCCAGGACTTGGGCGGTGGTGAGGATCTTTTGTAGCAGTGACAAGTTTTTGGGACTAGTGATGTAGAGGTTTTTGTCATAGAAATAGGTGTAGTGATACCGAATAATACTATTTGGATATTAAAGGGTACTTTTTTATAACGGTGTCTCGTCAGTTATTTGATTTGTTTTGATTAGATAGGTTAACTTAAGGTTTGAAAGTAACCAACATTTAGATTTGACAAGCTGTGATCATAAGCGTATGTTACGTATGTAGGTACTACAGCTAAAATATTGTTTACTCAATTTGTTTTGCAAGCGTTTGAATTTTGTACAATTGGTTTATCACGTGAATAGCTTTTTGAGATTCAATTAACGTCAGTTCACCTTTTACAGATGAGAGATCTAGACAGGAAACCTAGGTTTAACTTTACATGGTTTTTCTAACAATCTATAACTCGCCCGTGACTAAGCAGGAACATTTTATATATTAATGAAAATGTCAAACACCGCCACGGCGCGGTAATAAGCTTGTAATTTATTTCGCGTGCTAAGTCGCCATTTAACAAATTAAAAGTTGATTAGAACCAACAGGTGGTCGGCTAATAGGAAACTGTTATTGATACGTATCTGTTATTAATTTAAAATTTTTGTTGCGTTTTAAAGTACAAAAATGTTTAGTTTCCACCTTTTTTATATGGTGTTATTTATCTTCATTGTTTTCATAAATAGTTCTATATTAAACCCTAAAGAATCATGCCATTTTTCGTTCATCATGTGATCATCGGTGATTTCATTAGAAAGAGATTCGTTTAGATTTTTAATCAATCTTTAGTCTGGATATCATAGACATATCTAATCATTAACTTTAGGGCGCTTCGACATCTGGCGTATGCGCAGCTCGCAAGCCGCGCGCGTGTATTTAAATTTTTTATGAGTTGAGCACCTAACCATTGCCGTGACTGTACGCGCGCAGCTCGCGGGCGGCTCACCAACTGCGGTACTTTCGTCAGATGGAGATGCACCCTTACAACCACTCTAAGATTTCAATATTACAACTAGTACAACCGCTACATATAAATATTTACATCTCTGTTTACATTTCCTTAATTCCAAAACAAACTAATAATAACCCAAAACAAATGACTATGTATAAAATAAACTCTAACAAAATACATTTTCTAAAACAAAGATGGCGCTCGCTTACCTTGTGGCCTGATTCGAACAAATGTCCAAAACTTGCACAGAATAAGGAAAGCTATTGTTATACGAAATAATTAATTAAGATTCCTAATTATATGGGACTTAAGTACAATGAAATGTAATTAGATAATGCTTTATACTCGTGATACTGCTTCGTTTACATTTGGCTGTATTTATTTCTGTGTCTGTGTTTAGAATTTAAATGAGCTGTTCTTTAATTACTTGGTTATATCTAGTAGTTAGAGTTATTATTGTTGGCAAGTTTTCAAAAATGCGAAGTAAATACTTCGCATTTCTGAAAACTGCCATGTAGTGGCAACATAATACATAGACCGATCATTATATATCTGATAGCCCTAAACCTTTCAAAATGCTATCGCCGGCATTAACTTCAGGCGGACCTTCGCGGCCACGGGTGCGATATCTATATATAAAAGAAAGTCGTTTATAAGAAGGGCTAAATCGATTTGGATGAAAATTGGCGAAGAGGTAGCTTAGAACCAGGAGTATATATAGGTTAATTTTATCTAATACTTTTTTACTTTTTACCGAATGTCACGATCGGGAACAGGAAAAACGGGATTGCGCGTACGAAGTCGCGGGCAGAAGCCAGTCTATATGTATAAAAGAACGTTGTGTTAGTTACACTATTTATAACTCACGAACGGCTAAATCGATTTGGCTGAAACTGGGTGGGGAGGCAGCTTAGAACCAGGAGATAGACATAGGCTAGTTTTTAACCAAGGATTTCCTGATAAACCTACGGGAACGGGGAAAACAGGAATGCGTGTATGAAGCCGCGGGAAGAAGCTAATTTTTTCCATTTTAAGAAAGAATGTAGAAAAGTCTAGTATAATACAAAACAGCCTTTGAAAACAATTGAAACATAAGTGGGTATTACTCAAATTGGAGTATGAAATGTTATGATAAATGCTATAGAGCTGTTGTCTGACCCTCGTGATGTATTGTGGCAGACTGGCCACAGATGTTGTAATGTATTCAGTAGCTTTTTGTTCACTTAACGATTGGGTTATTCGTGACATGGTACAGGGCAAATATGTACAAAAGTATAAACATTTTCTTTTTTTTTACGGGGGGTAAATCATCGAATGACTACTCCCGCCTGGGTGTGGCGGGAGGGAGTGTCAGACTCTTACTGACTAAAAACCACCCCGTTCTTTCTCCTGCACGTCGAGCCGGGGCCCCGGTTACCCGTTAGGTTCTCCGCGACATAAACATACACTGGCTTCTGTCTGCAGTTTTGCTCGCGTTAACAGGTTAAAAAGTAGTTATAGACTCTGCCAGCGACTTTACCGAGTTAAAAAGTAGCCTATATTTTATTCCAGACTGATCTATCTCTGTGCTATGGAAATATATCTGTTTCAATCTGAATGTATACATATGTATTTGTATTTGTATTATTATTAGTATGTTTTGACTTTGACTTTGACAAAATAAATGGGCGTATTTAAAAATGCGCCATTATTTCTAAATTTAGACAAAAGCTTTGGTTGGACTAATGCAGGCAATGTGATTCGAAGGTCCCAGTTGAAGTTATCTTTGATGAATGATTGCGGTCTATCGTCTTTTTGCTTATGCTAGTACAGTCATTCGTTGATGATTAGAAACTGGTCTGTTGGAATCTATATAGATACATACAAACTTACATACATACACACCTACATACAAACATACATTTTCACAAAACTATTGATTTCCCAATTTTGTAATTGTCAATAATAGAACTAAATCTATAATTGTGTCGCACACGCATGACCTAGTTTGTTTAAAATAACTTTGAAACGTTATTATGACGAATTCAAACACATTAATTGGTCTATTAAGTATCAAATTATCAAATTACAGTTCAATAGATACCAATACAAAGCAAATAATAGAAAGACACAATTGTTTCAAGTTTTTAATAAACTTTCGTTGTACCGAAGTTGTTTAATTACTTCGACTTTTATTGCTGTTCAAAAGGTGAAATTACTGATGTAATTTCATTGTAAAAAAGTTATATACCCATATTTTACACACAATAAAGAAGTATTTATATAGTAATACGTAGCCAGGAGTTATATTACCATCTGAAATTCAACAACTCGTTGCAGTCCAGTTACTTCTTATAAAAAGGTAAAAAATTCGGTAGTTGACAGGTAGTCAAATTCAATACTTTTATTGAAATGTCAAAAACGATACCTTTCTATGAATAAAATTGTGTTTTGGATTACAAATTATGACGTCATCATACTTCTGCATCAAATAGCATACTTTTTTTCTTAAAATTAGCGAGAAAATATTCAAAATTAAATTGTCAAATCAATGGATGAGAGTATGATTATTTTTTATTTATTTATTGCATTAAAAAATTGAAACAATTTATTTTAAACCTAGGAAACTAGCCAATTATGTCAGTTATATCTAGAATTATCTAGACTAGTTACCTAGCTCTGTATTACAAATAAAACAAATTAGATATCTCACTTGATTGGACTGTGAGATTAACAGAAGGCTGCAGCTATCCCGCCAGCGTCCAATTAGCGCAAACATGAAGTGACTACAAACGCTGTTCCACTGTTTCTAGCTAACTGTATTTCATAGAATTATTTATTGTTATTAATTAATGCTCTGTTAATTGATGTTAGAAATTGTAGCAAATAAATATTACTACTGATTAAGAAAAAGATGAAATAAAGCGTAGATATAGCACAGAAAACCACCGGTTGATGGGGCAAAGTTCTGAAATGGAGGCCACATTTCGATAAGCGATGCACTAGATATCTCTAACTGTCTTCTGTTTCTAACTGCCTAGTCAAGTAGCCAACCAATGACTAGGTACTGTATTTGTCTTAAATCAATCTTTATTTTCTTACCTCAATATAATAATCTGATGGTACTGATGGACATTCTCAGGTCCCAAGTCTGCCGTGAAATGGGACTAATTCAACATGTGCAAGACAGGGCCTTGCGCTGGTATTCTACTAACCCCTTAACTGATTCGCGGAAGAACAAGCCACCAATTAGACATTAGCAATTCAAATACCTAATCTACTATATAAAAATAAGTCGCGTTTTCCTTCCTGACGCTATAACTCCAGAACGCAAGAACCGATTTCCACGGTTTCGCATTCGTTG